TCCTTATATAAGGATCCTACTATTTAGGGTACTATATTAGGGTCCCCTATTTTCGGAAACCCCCATATCAATAGTAGCACACTTCGCTGATGATGAGTCCCTATTGCAATTTTTCGGAGCCTTATTAGAACTTAGAACAATGATTAGTGTTGTCATTCCTTTGTAGTTTTCAATATCATTGTAACAGTAGACTATACACCCCAAACCCTATCCAAGCTCTCCTCAGCCAGGTGGGGAGACTTGTTCACCTGTTCGAGCGGGAGATTGACACGCTCGATGGGGAGCTTGGAGGAGCGAGGAGGGTTTTGTCCGGAATTCCTTAATACTGTTGATGATATAGATCCTGCATTACCTGGAGGACCCTAAACTATGGGTATCATGGTATATTCCTTATGATGGGTAGTGCAGGATTTACATCACCAACCGTACCCCTAAACCTGAAATCGTAAACCCGAAAGCCGCGGCCTCAAAGCCTAAAGCCTAATATCCCCGAAGACCATCCCCGGTTTGAGCTTCTTGTGACTGCTAGTCAGTTTCGCGATCAATGGCTGGCTGCAGAGAACCCCGAACTCTAATCATGCCTTAAACGGAACCCTAAGTCTAACACCTACACCTAAAGCCATCTAAACCTTAAGCTCCACTGAAAGCCCAATTGACCCTTGAACTCCTTCAACCCTTACACGCGAGACCAAATCTAAGCCCCAAATCTTAAGCCTGAATTCTCAAACGAAAGCTCTACACCGACCCTAAACCCTAAACCCTAAACCCTAAACCCGAAAGCCTAAACCCTAAACCCTAAACCTCAAAACAAGGACACCACGCCGTCGTGAAGCCGGGCTTTCCGCGCTGGGCGCGATCTCCCGGCTCCTGTGCGGAGAAGGCCGGGGGCCACAGAGTCTCCAAGACCCTTTAAAGGGGCGGCCTTAAGAAGTCGATAAGGTTCCTTTAAGGGTTAAGGGTTTGGGGTTTAGGGTTGTTTAGGGTTTAGGGTTTAGGATCTATCGTTTAGATTTTTAGGGTTCCTTTCAGGGATCCTACAAGGGCAAATTTAAAAGGGTTAAGTCGGGATCTTCATAGAAGTTTACAGGAGTTAAATGGTGGAGGCACAAAGTAGGGTTGTCGCGGGTTTTGTAGTTAGGGTGTCAGAGACTTCTAAAAAAGGGATAGAGTTTCTAGTAGAGGGTTGGGTGAGGGTTCCTAAAAGGGCTACGTACTATAAGTGTGTCTATAGGTGAACTGTACGGGTTACTGTACGTTTCTATAGGTCACTGTACGCGGTTCTTTAATCCGGCATAAACAGCAGCCCGGACCCTTCTAGAACCCCTTTTTCGAACCCTTATGGAACCTCCGTAGAGCCTTCTGGGTTCTCCAAACTTAGGCCCCTTTTAGGTCCCCAAGATAGTACGGCACTGTTATAAAAGGACCTTTAAAAAGGAACCCGGAACCCTTATTTGAGTTCCAAGGCAATGATGCAAACTCGCCCTGACCTACGTACCTGGGAGGGTCATCCCCTGAACCCGAAATACCTAAACCCTAGACCCTAAACCCCTATACCATAAACCCCTACACCCTAAACCCCTATGCCCTAAACCCAAAGCCCCTATACCCTATACCCTAAACCCTAAACCCGAAATACCTAACCCTCAAGCCCAAACTCTTCCATTTGTAACAGGGAGGAGCAAAAGAGCCGTCAAACAAACCCAAACCCCCAAACCCCTACTGTTGATGATGGAAACCCATAGCATTACCTTAAGGACCTACGGTTTAGGGTTCAGGGTTTAGGGTTTAGAGCCATGGAAATTATGGTATACTCCTTATTATAGGTAATGCAGGATTTATATCATCAACCGTAGTAGGCCCCAAGCCCGTTTCCAGAAGCCAAGGCCGCGGAAGTCATCGCCTTCTACCAGCAGCAGATCTGTGCCTTAGAAACTCGACTCAGATCGTCGGGACCTGCACCAATCTGGTCGCCCGCGCCCTGAACCACCAAGACTCTGAAGCCCGAACCCTAAACCCCAAAACCCTTAAATCCTTCTACTCCCTGGTTCTTAGCAGGGAATGGGGGAAGGGATCCCTGTGATAGTCTTAAAGGTCCCCTAAAGCAGTCCCAAAAACCCATTCCTCCGTTCCCTACCTAAGAACCAAGGAGTCTAGAAACTCTGATGGAAATTGTTGTAGACACCCACCCCCTAAACCCTAAACCCTAAACCCATAAATAAATTGCAGAAGTCCTTCTAGTAGCCTCGGAAATGGTCTTGTGCCTGCGCCGGCTCGGACCCTAATCTGTAAA